AGCAAGTTCTGAGCCCCCTCGATCTCCTAGAAGTCAGCCCTAGCTGCTTCCCACCCCAGGTCTGTGTCCCACCCAGAAGTAGCTCTTGCACTCACCCCACGGATGTCCCAGTAACCCAGTGTAGCAGGCATGGTGCTGGGTGGTCTCCAGAGCAGCCTGGGTCTTGGTAGTTTAAGTTTTCTGAACCTTCCTAGGCTAGGCCAGAGGAGGTGGGACTCGGTTCTGCTCTCCTATTGGACTATAGGCTTACAGAGTCTCAAGTTGCAGACATTCCTGGGCAGGGAGTGCTGGGGGAAGGAGTCAGAGATCCAGGGGCAGGGCAAAAGAAACCTAGCCTCCTCTCAGACTGATTCAGGAAACAAGGCTAAGCAAAAGTCTGGCCCAGGCTAGCACCTGGTTCCGCAGCTCCCTGATCTCACCCTGGTGTGCTGTGTCCAAGGAGACACAGATGTGCAGCTGGAGACGGGCAAAGGGCAACACTACTCCTTACCTTCCTGGCATTGCTTAAGCTTCACCATCAGCCCCTCCCTGCTTTGGCTCTGCCTGAATCCTGGTTGTTGAGCCAGAACATAACAAGATGCCTCCAACCCGAGGCATTGTCTGTGCTCCCAGATGACCTGCAGGACTCTGCAAAGCTGGACAACTCCCAGTCATTTATATATGCGACCTGCAGATGCATGAGAAACACACAGGATCACTGAGCACCCAGAAGATGCAACGCAAAACCATACCGAGATACACATTCCCCAGTAAAGAATTATTTTTATCAAGCAAAACAAAGGTTTCAGAGGGATATCCCTTGTATCCCTGCTCTCTCCAAGACCTTTATCATGAAGGGGTGTTGGATTTTGTCAAAGGTTTTTCAGCAACTAATGGGATGATAATGTGGGTTTTTTTTTTCCAGTTTGCTTATATGGTAGATTACATGGACAGATTTTCATATGTTAAACTATCCCTGCAAGCTCTGGGATGAAGCCAACTTGGTCATGTGGATGCTTTTTCTGATGTGTTCTTGGATTTGGTTTCCAGTATTTTATTGAGTATTTTTTGCATCAGTGTCCATGAGGGAGATTGGTCTGCAATTCTCTGTCTTAGTAATGTCTTTGTGTGGTTTGGGTATCATGGTAATTGTAGTTTCGTTAAAAAAAAAAAGTTTGTCAATGTTCCTCCTCTTTCTATTGTGTGGAACAATTTGAGGAGTATTGGTATCAGTTTTTCTTTGAAAATCATGTAGAATTCTACACTAAAACCATTTGTTCCTGGGGTTTTTATGGTTGGTAGACGTTTGATGACTGTTTCCTTAACTGCTTTCTTTAGTTTATATGTATTGTTCTTTTTAAAAATATTATGCTGATGGGATGTCCTGGGCGGCTCGCGGAGCAGCTGCTAGTGGCTGTGGGTCCCCGCAAGATCTCCAGGGTGGCAGCGCCATGCGGCTGGGGGAGTCAGGGTCCCCAGGCGAGCGGCAGAGTCAGGCGGCTGGATGCGGTGGACGGCAGAGTAAATGAACATAAGGCTATACATAAAGCTAAACATTTATTACCTAAAGAAAGGGAGACATAGACAAACAGAGAGAGAGGGAAAACATGTGTACACACGGCAAGAGATGGACAGGAAAGAGAGAGCCAAGATGGCAATGAGGTCAGAAGTGGCTGGAAGTGGGCGTGGTTAGCTCTTAAAGTGACAGCAAAGAATAACATTATGTCTGTTTAATTTACTCATCTGGCCTTGATTTAATTTTAGTACATGATATTTATACAGAAAAATGTCCATTTCCTTTAAATTTTCCAATTTTGTGGGGTACAGGTTTTCAAAGTATGACCTAATGATTCTCTGGATTTCCTCCATTTATGTTGTTATGTCCCCCTTTGAGTTTCTTATTTTGTTCATTTGGATATTCTCTCTCTGGCTTTTGGTTTAGTTTAGATAAAGCTTTGTCTAGTTTGTTGATTTTCTCAAAGAATCAACTCTTTGTCTAGTTGATTCTTTGTACTATTTCTTTGTTTCTCTTTTGTTGATTTCAGCTCTCAATTTGTTTATTTCCTGCCGGCTAGTCTTCCTGGGAGAGTGTGCTTCTTTTCGTTCTAGAGTTTTCATGTGTTCTGTTAACTCATCAGTGTGGGATTTTTTTTCCAGCTTGTTTATATAGGCATTAAGTGATATGAACTTTCCTCTTAACAGTGCTTTCATTGTGTTCCATAAATTTGGGTATGTCATGTGGTCATTTTCATTGAATTTTAGGAAGTCTTTAATTTGTTTATTTCTTCTTTGACCCATTGGTGATTCAGGGGAGCATTGTTGAATTTCCATGTATCTGTGGGTTTTCTGAAATTTGTGTTGCTGTTGAATTCTAATTTTAAGCCATTGTGATCCAATAAGATACAGGGGGTTATATCAATTTTTTGTGTCTGTGTGTGTCTACTGAGGTTTGCTTTGTTTCTTAGTATATGGTAGAGGTTGCTGGCTTGGTCCTGCTCCAATGGAGGTTGGGCCTGCTCCTGTGGCTGTCCCTGGTTCAGGTCTGCTCACGGAGTTTGCTGGGTTAGGCCTGCTCCCATGGAGGTTTCTGGCTTGGTCCTGGTCCTGCAGAAGTTGCTGGCTCGGACCTGATCCCGTCTGTCATTATTAACTGGCCTTTATTTTCTGTGATCTTCCATTGCACAGTTTCCTTCCCAAAATATGTATCCCCACATACACTTCTACCTCAGTCCAAAATGGAAATAATGACTCTAGAAATCCTCAGAAGGAGACTAGAATACTGTGAACTATATTTTTAAAAAAGGAAAGAATAAAACCAGATATTCACATGTAGAAACTAGTGAAATGAGATTTCTGCATCTCATACTGAAAAAAGAAACAAACAAACTGAAAATGAATCAAAGGTCTTAATTAAGACTTGAAATTTAGCCGGGAAGTGGAGGCACAGGCCTTTAATTCCAGGACACGGGAGGCAGAGGCCGGTGGATCTCTGAATTCGAGGCCAGCCTGGTTTACAAGAGCTAGTTCCAGGACAGGGTCCAAAGCTGTCCAAAGCTACAGAAAGATCTTGTCAAAAAAAAAAAGACTTGATTGAAATTTAGAAATTTCTGGAAGGAAACACATGGAATGAGTTCTAAGACATAGGCATACATAGATTTTTTTTCTGTATTAGGGTTCAATAGTTCAGAAAATAAATACAAAATTTGACAAGCAAGAATGCATTAAAGGAAAAAGCTTCTACACAGCAAAGGAAGCGCTCCTGAGGAATGGGAGAAAATCTCTGCCAGCTATTTCTCTGACAGAGAATTACTACACAAATACAGAAAGAACACAAACTCCTAGCCAAATGTAATGACACTTGCCTATAGTCCCAGCACTGGGTCAGGAAAATCATTAGGACTTTGAGGGCAACCTGGGCTACATGACGAGATCCTGTCTCAAAGACAGAAGAAGATGAGGAGGAGGAGGAGGAGGAGGCGGTGGGAGCTCAGTGGAAATGGTGTGTGTTCGAAGCTCAGAAGTGCCAGAGAGAAGAGACTGGAGAGAGGGAGCTCCATGGGTCCTGAGCTGCAGTTAGGAGGAGGTTCCGATATGCCGCTGCACCGCAGGTGACTGCACCCTGATGATGTGGTCCATCTTCCCAAATAACAGGAAGAAAGGACATTCAGTGTTTCCACCATGAAAAAGTGACACATATATAAAAAGAAGTCACACAGTATGCCCCCAAAATGTATGACTTCTATGTTTTTGTGTATGTTAAAAAATAAATTGACAAGTCATTTTTAAGGGGTGGCTGGGAAAGACTCTGTCTTGAGAGGACTTCCTACTCTTACCGGGGGTCAGAGTTCATAGCCCAGCACCCAAATCAGGCAGTCCATCACCTGTAACTCCCACTCCAAAGGACCTAATACCTGCTTCTGGCTTCTGCATACACCCTAACATACATGCACATACCTCCTCTCTCTCTCTCTCTCTCTCTCTCTCTCTCTCTCTCTCTCTCTCACACACACACACACACACACACACACACACACACACTTAGAAAATTAAAATGATTCTTTTAAAAATTTTATTTAATTATTTAAAAGTTTTCAAGATCCTTAGAAACTATAAATAAGAAATAAGAATTTCCTACAAAAATTAAAGGAATACAAGATCTGGTACACGTTAAAAGCAGTTTCAAGAGGGAAGTTTATACCTCTAGACCCTACATTAAAAAATCAGAAAGAGCACAAATAAATTACTTGATGATGAAACTCAAGGATTTGGAAAAACAAAGCAAACCATTTCTAAATCCAGTAGATGAAAATAAATAATAAAATCAGAACAGAAATTAATCAAATAAAAACAAAGAATCAACCAATCTAAGAGCTGGCTCTCTAAAAACATAAACAACACTGATAACTCTTAGCCCAGTACACCCAAACTAAGAGGAATATAAAAAAACAAAATACAAACAAACAAACAAAAAACCAATCAGAGATACACCAGGAGACATTACAGCAGACACCAAAAAATTTCAGAACAGTATAGGAAGATATTGTTACAAATCTATCTTCCATTAAGTTAGAAAGCCTAAAAGAAATGCACAAATTTCTAGATTCCCCCAAAACACAAAGTTAAACCAAGAAGAGATGAACAACTTGAACAGACTTACAACAGTTAAGTGTTGGGGCTCAAAGGAGCAAGTCTCTCTCAGTACCTGTGGCTCCTTCCAGAACTTCTTACCCCATCCCTCCCCCAAACCTCTTCAGCCCAGGGACTGGGCTTCCCTTCCCCCAACTTCTGTTTCTATGTGACTCAGCCATTTTGGCTGAGAATTTTCTTGATCTACTTCTCTTGGCTTCTGGTTTTTCTCTTGGCATCTTGGTTCATGGCTCCATCTTGCCCTCTCTCCTTCTCTCTCTCTCCTCTTCATCTCTTACCCAACCCACCCACTTCTGATCCCCCCTCCTTTCTCTCTCTCTCTCTCTCTCTCTCTCTCTCTCTCTCTCTCTCTCACACACATACACACACACACACACACACACACACACCCACACACACCTCCTATCATGGCCCAGTTCAATCTGGACTTTCCCAGACACCCCTAGCTGTACTCTTCCTTTACATCTACAATGAAACCCTTCCCCTTAACTATACCTAGGAGCAGTCATGACCTCATTATCATTCAATAAGGAGATAGAAACAGTGACAAACATAAAAAAAAAAAAGCCCAGGCCTGATGGACTCATATAAAAATTCTTCTAGACCTCCAAAGGAGAATTATAACAATACTCCTTAAATTATACAAATGGCATAGAATCAGAATGAACACTTCTAAACTCCTTCTACAAAGTCCGTAGTACTTTAATATCAAACTGGAGAAAAATACAACAACAACAAAGAAAACTACCGGCCAATATCCCTGATAAACACGTGCGAAGTTCTTAGTGAAATGCTTACAGACTGAATATGGGCATATATGAAAAAGATCATCCATCACAATTGAGTTGGCTTGTTCCTGGAGCTGCAGAGATAGTTCAAAATATATAAGTCAATTGATGTAATAAATAATAAAAGCAAATTTAAAGATAAAAAAAATCACATAATCAATCAGCCTACAGTCCACAACCCCGGAAAACCTAGTCAATAAAGAAGACCCTAAGGGAGACATACATAAATTTACATAGGAAGGAGAAAAATACAAGATCTCCTGAGTAAATTGAGAGTGTGGGAGTCATAGGAGAGGGTAGAAGGAGAGAGGGGAGCAGAGAAAAATGTATAGTTCAATAAAAGCAATAAAAAATAAAATAGCTAATTAAAAAAAGCACATGATCATCTCAATACATGCAACATTCCTCCATGATAAAATTCCTAGAGTGAATAGGATGGAGACAACACACCTCAACATAAAAGTACATGACAAAACCACAGTCAGCATCATGCTAAGTGTTAAAAAGCTCAGAGCAATTCCGTTAAAGTCAGGAGTGAATGGGCTATCCACTAGTCCACTCCCTTTCAATGTACTTGGTGGGCTTTGGCTACAGCAGTCAGACAAGAGAAGGAAATTAAAGGGATCCAAGCAGGAAAGAAGTAAAATAATTTATTTTTTCAGATAATATGTTATAGATAAGAGATCCAAAAAAGTTCAAACCAGAAAACTTGTAGAAGTGATCAAGACCTTCAGCAAAGTGGCAAGATTAAAAAAAAAAATGAACTTATAAAACGTAGTAGCCTTTCTATGTATCAAAAGCAAGCAAATTGAAAACATCGTGGAAACAATACCATTCACAATAACAGAGTAGTGTGTGTGTGTTGTGTGTGTGTGCGTGTGTGTGTGTGTCTGTGTGTGTCTGTGTGTGTGTGTGTCATGTGTGAATAAAATTTAACAAGGACGTGAAAGACCTCTACAATGGAAGCTTTAAATCACTGAAAAATACAGATGGAGGAAGACACTAGAAGATGAAAAGACTTTCCAAGCTCATGGATTGCAAGAATTAATATTGTGAAAAGGGCTGTTTTATCAAAAGCAATTCACAGATGACATTCTTCCCAGAAACAGAATAAGAAATCCTGAAATTCATATGGAAGCACAAAAGCCACCAGGTAGCCAAAGGAATCCTCAGTAAAAAGAACAATGCCGGAAGGGTTCCAACTCCAAACCTCAAGTTCGATTACGGAGCTGTGACAGAACAAACAGGGTGGCACTGTCACAAAAGTCAGCACATAACCGATGAACAGAACAGAAGGCCCAGACGTGAGTGCGTCTGATATTTGTCAAAGCTGCCAAAAATGAATCCTGGAGGAAAGACAGCTCCTACAACAAAGAGTGCTGGGAAAACCAGCTGTCCTCATGTAGAAGAATGGATTAGACCCGTATCTAGCACCCTGCACAAAATTCATCTCCAAATGTATCAAAGACCTCGATGAGGGAAAACTAGATCACGAAAACTGCTAGAGGAAAACATAGGCAGCGCCCTACAAAAGACAGGCGCAGAAAAGGACTCCAGTCACTTGGAAATTAAGGCCAACAAGTGAAAAAATGAGACTTCATAAATCTAGAATAAATCTATATATCAAAGACAATATTCAATGGAGTGAAGAGAAAGTCTACAGAGTGGAGGAGAATCCTTGTAATCTAAAATCTGATCGAGGATTAATATTCAGAATACACAAAGAACTCAAAATTCAAAGGAGTGGGAAATGGGGAAAACAGAGAGCTCTCTCTTCCTTAGGAAGGTGGAGGGAAATAAAGACAGAAGAAGGAGGGTAAAGTAAGAGTAAAGATGTTTGGAAAGTCATACTATTAACTATTTACCTAAAAATACCTATAATGCACATAAATTGGTGTATAAACATGAATATACAGTCTAAATGAAATCTGCCATCTGGGCTTGTGATGCTGTCCCAAGAGTCATAGACTATCTAACATAAACCCCAACTCCAGTCAGATGATCAACCAACCTTCTTTTGAGTTGTTGGTCGGGGTTCTACAAGGGATTCTCAAAATGTTACAGGCTATTGCTATAGGCCTTGGTTGCCCCCTAGAGGTGGAAGGTAAGTCCTTATTGCTGAAGACACCGTGCACTTCAGAGACAGTGCTCAGAGGCACCTAAGCTGGAGCTGACCCAAAAACTTCCTCCCTGAGGATTAGATTTCAAGGTACCAGAAGGTACCAAGCAAGCTTCCAGCAGTCTTAAACACCTTTGATACCTATAAGCCATGACAATAAACAGCATGGCATGATACTCCTAAAGGTGCAGTAGTGGCAGAGGTACCTTGCTGGCAATCAACAGCTTCTTGTTGGACTTAAGGCCTGCCAAATAAGAGGGGAATTACGTCAGGTACTATAAATCTAGCCAACAGCCCAGGGCTGGTGAAGTCATGGATCTTGGTGGGAATCCCACAACTGCCACTTTATTAAAGCAGCATGATCCCAACTACATTTTAAGTACTTGTCCTTATACCCACAGGTAAGTGTAGTCCTCACCTCATCAAGAAGTTCTTAAGAGAAGTAACAGATGGGGACCATTACAGAAACCACAAACAACCAAAAAGCAGACTTGTAGAGCCAAGTACCAACAGATATATCTACAGTGTGACTCCTAGACCTAAGACTCAGAGATCATTGCAGAAGAGGAGGGTGGAAAGATTTTTTTAAGAGCCAGAGAAACAGGAGTTTGCTGTGAGATTGTATCTTCTAAGAATGTCAAGAGCTACACCCCTGAAGTCTCAGCAACATGACTGCCTAAACAGAAGCTGAACAAGGACACTAACAGACTAAAGTGGGCAGTGGGAAAGCTCATGAGGCCTCAACCCTAGACAAAGGTCACTAAGGAACGCTGAGAGTGGGAGAAAAAGGCTTCTGCAGGGAAGAGCACACCAATTGGTTATCTACTACCAAATGGTCAGTCCTAAAAGCATATATGCATACATACATACACACATACATACATATGTAAAATTATATGAAATGAGTGGGTTATGTTTTTACATTTGAAAATACACACGCACACTCACACATACACACATATCACACCAATGACAGATAAGAAGCCCTTGTGTGTTAGTGGCACATGTCTTTAATCTCAGCACACAGGAGGCAGAAGCAAGTGGGTCTTAGTGAGTTTGAGGCCAGCCTGGTCTACAGAGTTCCAGGATAGCCAGGGTACACAGAGGAACTCTGTCTCAAAAAATAAGAAAAAGAAATGAAAGAAAGGAAAGGAAGGAAGGAAGGAACGAAGGAAGGAAGGAAGGAAGGAAGGGAAAAAAAGAAAGAAAAAGAAAGAAAGAAAGAAACCATGAATTTGAAAGACAGCAAGGTAGGATGATGTGGGATTCCCCTCTGTATGTTGTTAATACCATTGGTTATAAAGAAACTGGCTTGGCCTGATAGGGCAGAGCAGAGCCAGGTAGGGAAAACTAAGCTGATTGCTGGGAGAAAGAAGGTAGAGTCTAGAGAGACACCATGTAGCCCTGCCAGAGACAGATGCTCAGGATAGAACTTTACCAAGTAAGCCACAGCCACATGGCACAGATTAATGGAGTTTAGGATATAAGAGTTATCCAGAAATACACTTACGCTATTAGTCAAACAGTATTGCAAATAATATGGTTTCTGTGTGATTATTTCAGGGCTGAGCAGCTGGGAACAAACAAGTGAGCTCCTATAACAGATTTGGCGTGCCAACGTCGTTGACTAAAATCCACTTAAAAACTGAGAGAGTTTGGGAAGGAATTCTAGGCGGAAAAAAAAAAAGAACAGAGTTAAGCATACTCAAATACTGTGGCTCCTTTAAGAAAGGTTTTCCCAATTCAGTGATACCTATTTTGAAATGAAGGCTTCCTGGGTCATACTACCAGTGTAAGCTCTTGCTCTTGCAGGAGGCTGAACCTTTAAATGGGGTCTGAGAGCAGAGTGCTACAACTTGTTTAATGGAGACATAGACCCACTGTGTGCCTTAAAATGGGGCAATGTGCTTGACTCTTAGAGGCAATGAACTTGCCTCAGGCATGTTGGACTGGGCAGAGCAAGCAGGCAGGGCACATTGTCCCTAGTCACGCCCACTTAGCATAAAAAAAGCAGTTCTGGTCAGAAAAGGATTACAGATAGGCCATTAAGACAATTACAGATGAAAAATACCTTTAAATGGGTCACAGTGTTGGATAAATGTATGTAGGCCTGGAAGAGAGAAGAAGAGTAAAGAGACAGTAAATGTAATATAAAAGAGTGTAGAGAGTCATAAAGGGAAGTAAATGTCTTAAAAAAGAATAAAGCAAAGTCTTTAAAGAGGCAGAGTAAACTTGTAAAAAACATAATAGAGTAAGAAAAATAAGCCACATAAAGATTAAAAATATACAGAGTCTGGATTATATATACTATTGTGCTTTCTTTGATTTTTTTTTTTTACTGTGAATGAGCTAAGTACAGAGAGACATTTCATGGTACAGACTGTTAAACTAAACCAGCATATATACTCTAAAGGTTCTTGACTTCAAAATTTGGGTCTAAGAATATGTTTCTTAGGAAAAGATGTTCTTCTTTTGTTTTCACAGATGAAAACCTGTGGAATTCTTTCAGACTAGTGTGGTTTCATAGACCCCCACCCAAAAGACCACTGTGAACACCCCCAAAAAATACTTTGTCCAACAAAAAGCAGGAAGAAGTTTAGAGATACTATGCCCAAGTTCCCCAAATATTGTTTGTAAATGTTTCTTTATTTTTAAAGGGGGATACGCTATAGATATTTGCATTGGTATGGATCTTGCTTTATTGATACAAATTTAATGTCAATTTTATTATACTGTATATATGAATTTCTGCTCTTGATTAAGGTACTGTGTTTGTGCAGCTTATTTAAAAATGTAATGTATAATTAAGAAATACAGGTTAATAGATACTCATCTATGGTAGTCAAGCAGTAGTCAAATTAGTTAGGTTTTCTAGATATATAGAGATACATTTCAGTTAGGTAGACATCCTTCAAATCTTTCAGAGACCTTCAGAATATAGCATTTAAAATGTTTAAGAACTTAGGACTTTTCATGACAGTGAGACACATCGTTCCTGGCAGCACCAAACTACTTCAAGAGGATGATGGGCATCAAAGAGGCTCTTCATGGAGTTTGCTAGCTATTTGGGCAAGAAACTGCTATTGCCTGGACTGCTTGATGTTAGGCTATATGAACTGGACATGCAAGACCCACAGAGAAATGACTGCTGAACTTGCCTAAAGGTGAGACCATTCTTCAGGGTTTTTGCTTCATTAAAGAATAGAAAGAGTCTGCCAGACATTCTGCAGGACACAGAATAATGTGACTGACAAACTGCATATAGGCAAAACTGTCTTTGAAATTTCCTGCTTCATGGAAAAGTCTGCTGGACACTATGGGCCTATAGGCTGAAGATGGATGCCCCAGTGTTACAGAAGAATTAACCCATTTCCATTATTTTATATTATACCATAAGGTTTGTGGCCTACGGGCAAGGTTCTAACAGGCAGCTCACATCTTTATTCTCTGGCAGCTACGTGGCATCTCCTGGCTCCTCCTTCTTTCTCCAAGCATTCAGTTTAGTTTTCTCCACCTAGCTCTATTCTGCCCTATCACAGGCCAAGCCAGCTTCTTTATTCATTAATCAATAAAAGCAGCACATATACAGAAGGACCTCCCACACCACTCATCAGTTTAAAAAAAAATGATGTCATGAAATTTGAAGGCAAATGGATGGAACTAGAAAAAAAAATCATCCCAAATGAGATTGCCCAGACCCAAAAAGATAAATATGATATGTATTCACTTGGGTGTTGTTGTAGAATATTATTTTAAGATGTCTTCCATTTGTTTATGCTGTCAAGCATCTGTTTAATAATGCGAAGATGTGTTGAATTCTTTTATGGTACATTTGTTTAACTCTGTGAAGCTGTGTTTCTTTGCCTGTCTAAAACACCTGTTTGGTCTAATAAAGAGCTGAGGACTGGCAGGCAGAGACAATAAATGGGAGGAGAAATCTGAAGGGATAAAAACGCAAGAAATGAAGCCAGAAAAGAAAGGGTCAGCCGCCCAGCCACACAGCCAGACATGGAATAAGAAGGAAAGAAAAGATACACAGAAATAAAGAAAGGTAAAGGCCCCAGAGTCAAAAGATAATGGGATAATTTAAGAAAAGCTAGCTAGAAATAAGCCAAATTGCCGGGCAGTGATGGTGCATATCTTTAATCCCAACACTTAGGAGGCAGAGGCGGGAGAATCTTCGTGAGTTCGAGGCCAGCCTGATCTACAAGAGCTAGTTCCAGGACAGGCTCCAAAGCTACAGAGAAACCCTGTCTCGAAAAAAAAAAAAACAAAAGAAAAAAGAAAGAAAGGAAGGAAGGAAGGAAGGAAGGAAGGAAGGAAGGAAGGAAGAAAGAAGCCAAATTAATGACAAGCAATCATAAGAAAGAATCAGTTTCTATGTGTTAATTTAGGAGTTGGGTGGTGGGCCCCTCAAAGAGCAAAGAATAAAGAGTAAAAACCAACAGCAACAATGTGTAGATATTAACTATTAAATAAATGATAACCAACCTACAATCCATAGACCGAGAGAGGTGAGATACTGGGGAGGTTACTGGGGATAGGGGGCTTGAATCTTGCTTAGATGTGGAAATAGAATAGATTTTATGGGTGGAACGAGAGGGGACAGGTGGGAAGAGGAGCAGGAGAATCAGGTGGAGAGGGAGAGGAAGTTGGGGTTGAGGGAGGGAATATGGGGAGAGACGGTTGGAACTTAGGGGCAGTTGATGGATGGTATGGAAACCTAGTGCAGTGTAAATGTCCTAAAAATATATGAAAGCAATCCTAATTAGGTCTTCTAACAATGGGGTCTACAGAGTCCCAACTGACTATCTCTTGTCATCAAACAAGGCTTCTAGTACCAGAACTGGCTTGCATTCGATTGAGTTGTTGGCCAAGAGAGTTCCATGAAAATCCCCAAACAACCCAGGCTTTTGCTAAGACAATGGGTTACTCTCTGCAAACCAACAGTCACAAAAGCAGGGCTTCTTTGTGAAGGACAACACCCACACAACTCACTGAACATGAAGGAGTCAAGCTGGTGCCTACATGGAGCTTTCACCCCTGTGTTCTAATGTTCTTTGTGTGGGAAGATACTCTGGAAGCTACCAAAGAAAAATGTAAACACCAGCTCAGCCACAAATTCTTTGACCTACAGTGTGCCCTCCTGCAAGACATGCTAGGGCAATGGTGACAAAGAACCTGTTGGAGCAGTCAACCAATGTTTGATCTGACTTAAGACCCACTCCACAAGACAGAACCTATTACCCGACACTGCTAGGGTGACCAGAATCAGAAACTAGATAGCCCAAGACCTAGTGTAAAAGCAAACATTGGTCTAAAAAAGAAAGAATCAATAAAATGGCCCCTACTGATATTTTGCTATAGCCTTAAATCTGTGTCTTAGTTAGTCATCATCAGAATAATTTCCTCCTGCAGCAGACAGGAAGAGATGCAGAGACCCACAGTCAGACACGACATGGAGAGTCCTTGGAACACGCAGCTCTGTATGGGATGTCTCCATGGAATTTCTTCCCTCAGAGATAAGGGAACCACACAGAAGAGGAGGTAGAAAGAGTGTAAGAGTCAGAAAGGAGGGAGAACACCAGAAGAACGGGCCCTCTGAATAAACAGTCGAAGGCTCATATGAACTCACAGAGACTGAAGCAAGTACAGGATCTTCACTCGTCTTCACTAGGTCCTTTTCGAACATATTACAGCTTTTTAGTTTAGTATTTTTATGAGGCTCTTGAGTATGTGAACGAGTGGGTCTCTGGGTGAAGCAACACTCAGGAACAAGCAACTATATCCACTCCCACACAGTAATTCCTCCAGAACTGCAGGGGAGCACCATGAAGGATCCACTGAGCTTTCTACAGAAGTACTCTGTGAGGAAAAAAATGTTCAGCCACTCCCTACACGTCACTGCCAGTGACTTCACTAGGACCTGTCTGGGGAAGGCCAAAGGAGACTGCATGAGTGCCTGGTGATTTTCATGGGGCCAAGGCAGCAGTGACAGAGGTAGCCATAGCAACAGTTCCTTAAAAATGCTTATACATTTTTTCAAACTTCCCAAGCTCCTCCTGACGATCAGCTGAATGCAATGTACAAGCAGACAGGTCATTTTCTCCTTTGAGACCCAGAACACATTGAGAGATCCACAAGCACAAAGGAAGCTAGCTTACTTTCTTTCCGGCACACCTTACTCATTGATGGACATGATCGGTTTTTTCTATGTGAGGTGGAAAGGGTACGGAATCAATAGCACATAGACACTATATTCTAGAGAGATGAATTATATGGGGGATTATAGAGGCATTTCATTTGTATTTTAATAAATAAAGCTGACCTGAAGATCAGAGAGTAAAATAGCCCCACTGGTCAGACTTACAGAGCAGGCAATGGTAATATGTATCTTTAATCCCAGTAGCCAAACTAGCTTGCCATAAAAAACGGGCAATGCATGCCTTTAATCTCAGTAGGGCATGTCTTTAATTCTAGCCCTAGAGAGGATTATATGACAGGAGGAGACAGCTCTCACACACAGTCTCATTCTGAGATTCCAGGAGGCAGGATCACCATTTCAGACTGAGATAGAGGTAAGAGCCAGTGGCTGGCTGGTCTGCTTTTCTGACCTTCAGGTTGAACCCCAGTTTCTCTCTCTGGTTTTTCATTATCGTGATTAAGGGGTTATGTGAGTATGCACGTGCTATTTGTCATGGAAAGATGTTCCTGTGACTGTTACCCCATGATCTTCCCATTGCAAAAGGAAAAGTCAGAAAGTCCATGATGTATTCAGTCCAGACCTGACAAGACAGGAGACACTGAGAAACACCCAGGTCATGACAGAGCAAAAGGAAAGCAGAGGACCAGGCCAGGAGATGATGGACTTCTGGAAATGACAGAAGGAATTCACTTATCCATATGGCTTATTTTAATTTTATTTTGTATTATGGATGTTTTTAAATTTTTTATTTATTTTATGTGTATATACATTTTGCCTGTATGTGTCTGTAAGCACCATATGCATGCAGTACACAGAGAGGCAGATCCCCAAACTTGAGACCCAGACCATGGTTAGCTACCATGTGGCTACTAGGAACCAAACCAGGGTCCTCCGGAAGAGGAGC